GGACACTGGGAACAATATGGCCATTCCTTTGAATCTAATCTATTATCAATGGCATCCTAGGGAAGAAAAGAGTTAACACAATCAAGAAAATGTAACCTCTACAATATTTTTGTTTTGCATAAAACTCAAAACTTGTATTTATAATTAAGGAACATAAAGATATATACTTTTTTTTTTAGGATATATATTTAATAAAATAAGGTTAGTCCTTTCTTGGAAACTCAGACAACTTACTCGCTTCAAATATTAATGCAATCATTTACTTACTTACTAAACCAGTATTTATTGTATTCGTATTTCTTCTTTTGGAGGGTCCCTACATTGGTGCGAGGATTCCAGGTATCTTATCAGAACCTTTATGTCTAGAGTGCTAGGGATTTCTCAATATGGTACCATCCTGGTCCTGACACACCTCTTAGGGTACAGAGTGTCCAGGCCCTGCCCTCTTCAGCCCTGCCCTTCAGCAGTGGCTCGAAAATAGGATGTGCACCCCTGGCTAGGACTACACAAGACAATCCACAGGGATGAGGGAAATTTTCCTTCTTTTTTTTTTTAATTAAAGTTTATTGGGGTGACAATGGTTAGTAAAGTTACTTAGGTTTCAGGGGTACAATTCTGTAATACATTATCTATATATTATACTGTGTGTTCACCACCCGGTGTCAGTTCTCCTTCCATCACCATATATTTGATCCCCTTTACCCTCTTCTACCACCCGAAATTTTCCTTTTCATTTCACTTTCAAAATTTTCCTTTTTTAGGGGTTACATTGGATATACTTATGTGTGTGGGTATACTGTATACAAGACTATGTTGTTAGTACAGTAATACATAGTTTATAAATAATCATATGGTATAGGCTTATGTTCACATTTTTTGTGATTAAGTGTGAATGATCATAAAAGGTTGGGGACCACTGCTTTACAGCATAGTAGTACAAATGGTATTAATAAGTAGACATAGGAGTGGGCACAAGGTACTCAGGATCCAAGAACATTTCAATAAAACTGCAGGAAATGAAGAAACAGACTTTCAGGAGAAATTCTGAAGGTTTTAGATTGCCATTGAGCCAAGAGTAAATTTTCTGAATTTAACATGCAAATCTTTGTGAAAGGGTTTGAGAAAGTCAACTCTTATTTTAAAACTACCAGCCAAGAAAAACTACTTAGTTCTAGGTCCTTGTTATGAGCCAGGAAAAAAAAAAATCTATGTTGCAGAAAATAAAATCTAAACTTTAAACTTTTCATCTATGATTAAATATGTATGAATGACAAGATTAGCCAAGCAAAACAGAAAAATCCTAGGAATAAATTGTACCAAATTAGATCCCAAAGGAAAGTAGAAATTGGGGTTTAAGTCAGAGGAAAATTGGAATAAATGGAACTAAATGATTATGACTGATGAATTAATGCCATTTTATTGAGCTCATAATGCAATTTTTATTAGTCCATTTTCTAATTTCCTATAATTGAATATTATTTTCTAAAAGCAGACAGTACTGAAGGCATCAACTATCTGTTGGATATAACAGCAAATGATAGTGAGGTTCACATTTTAATCACAAATACATTTCCAAGAATATTGGATTCTAACATTTTCTAATAGTGGTCATATACAAATGTTATTTTGTGTTGAACTTTCATTCAAACAAATCATTTCTATTTCTGTTACATATAGTCATTTAAAACAACTGCTGTTTTCTTCATAAAGCATGTGTGTGCTTTATTTTTTTATTTTGAGGCAGTCAGTGGTGTGAGTTTGTTTGAGGGCTTCAGGAAAGAATCTTCAAGAGTTTCCTCTCCTCCCCTGACCCCAGATACAGCCTTCTTTTGTGAACCCTCTCAGTACTGCAGAAAATTTCTGACCCATGGATATGTTCAGATTGACAGATAAACATACAAAGAGTAAAGAATACAGAAGGGCACTTAAGGTGTAAGTAAAGTTTAATGACTTTTACCTCCAAAATATCTTTGATAAAAGGTGTCCATCGAGAAAGTTGAAAAGTTTCTTCTGCAGACCGATCCTTTCTTAATGGTTTACTTTGTTGAGACTAATATAATTAGAAAAAAAAATTAAAAGCCAGTAATTTATTTAGTGATAGTCTCTTACTGAGTTTTTTAACAAAGATATTTAATTTACAGCAAATACTATGTTGTATTTGACTTAAAACTAAGAAATGCCAAGTCAAGGGCCAGCCGAGTGGCACATTGGTTAAGAGTTGGCTTGGGACGCCAGCTCTGAGCAGCAGGGCCCTGTTACGGATCCTACATGAGGGCCAGTGACACTGCCCTCTACAGCTAAGATGCTGAACAACAGCTCGACCTGGAGCTAGGCTGCTGGGAGTCATCGGCGCCCCTGCTGCAGTGGATTGCTGTGAGCTACAGTGAGTGGCTGGCAGCCAGTGTGAGTGGCCGTCCAATGGCTGGCGAGCAACTGCCTCACCCGGGAAGAGCACAATGATAATACCAACATGGGCCAGTGAAGCGACGTCCTCTACAACTAGACTGTGGAACAAAAGGACAGCAACTTGTCTGTTCCCCTCTCCCGATTCCCCAATGCTGTTCCCCTCCCCCAATTCCCCAATAAAATCTTAAAAAAAAAAAAAAACCTAGTCAAATAATCTGAATAGGTGTGGTCACATAACTTCGCAGTATTTTGTGCTTTAATGATAAAATAGTATCAGAAAGTATGTTTACTCAAAAGTGCTATAAAACTTGACGGGAAAGAATGAGATTCTAATAGTTCTTTCAAAATTTGCTATAAATGAATCATAAAGAGAAAAGCATAAATAGCAAATTACAACAGAAGCTATTAAGATATAAATCCACTAGAAAGATTTGTCCAAATTATTCATATCTGGAAAAGAAAACAAAATTTTAGCTTTTTACTTACCAAATCTACAAAGTGAAATTAAGACTGTCCACATGGATTCCCATGTAAGAAACCATACTTAATGCAAACAACCACACATGCATGCATATATCTATCTATCTATCTATCTATCTATACACACACACACACACACACACACACACACACACACACACGCGCGCGCGCTAAATTTAAGATTTCTTACCTGGGGGACAATGGGAACACCAAGATAACTCCAGTTACGAATCATGTCACTCTCATTTTCTATCTGTACATTCTGGATCAACCTGTCCAAATTTTCTTCCGTAGTTCCTTAGGTAAGTAAAAATATGAGTCACATAATTGCTACCACAATCATTTCTAGGTTTTAAGTATACCCATAAATAAAGCTTTTTAAATAAAAAGTAAACATTTAAATTATATACCCTTCAGTCTTCTCCCAATTTCATATTTTTCCTTTTATTTATATCTTAACCAACTTCAGTTGCTACCTTTGAATTTTCTAAGATTCTCTTAAGCTCTTTAGTAAACCCTTATTGTAAAGTGATTTTAGAGCTGGGTATTCTAATATATTCATGAAAATGAACAAAGTCTCCATTACCATTAATACCGAAGATATAGAGTAGGATTGCTCTTATTTTATCATAATTATCATGAGTTTTGCTGAGGAGAACTGGAAGGAGTACTCGCATAGAATCTTTCACCTTCTGTCCTTCTGCATCAGTTCCAAGTGCCAGATCCTTATTGAAAACGAAATAGTCAGTGGTCTATAACCCAAATTCATTTTCAATTAAAAATATCTATTATTAAATCTTGCCAAATTTTAATGGAATACTGATGACATTTCATAGGAAAACATGGGCATCACTTGTAAATTACTGATTGTAGAAAATGTAAAAAAGTAAAAAAATAATTCAGAGAAGAAAATCATTAATCTAAACCTCTAATGATATGGTAGCCATGGGCCACATGTGGCTACTGAGCACATGAAATGTGGCTGGTCTGAATTAAGATGTGCTATAAATGAAAACATCAGATTTTGAAGACTTGGTGTGAAAAAAATATAAAATATTTCACTATTAATTTTTCATACTGACTACATGTTGAAATAATATTTTGGATATATTGGGTTAAGTCAAATATACTAGTAAAATTAACTACCCTTGTTTCTTACCTTTTTAACGTGACTACAGGATATTTAAAATTACATGTGACTTGCACTCTATTGCTATTAGCACGGATCTAAACCGTTTCGCATTATAGAGGAGCCTCTTAAAACAAGTTAAACATGCCAATGCAGTACTCTGCAGGATGCTACATTAAATGCTGCACCCACTAAGAAAAGCCTGCCAACAATGGTACCCTGAAATAATGCTCCAAACACTTAAAACATTCCATTCAACCAAAAATATAGTCACAGGTTAGGAGGGACTTGCTTACTATGATACTATTTAGTTACTTGTTAATGTGGGTGGGGAATGATGTATTAAACATAGCCTAGGTGAGTCCTCTTCTAAGAGACTCTGTGACTCCATGCACTGTATTGATTGAGCAAAATTAGGTTTTACCTTAGAAAGCTCACTCAAGAAATCCATTATGAACATAGGTATTTCTGACTCTGCACATACCTGTTCAGTTTTGCAGAGCTTTTCTATATTAGGCTTGAATTTATTCATGCAATCTTCTGCTAAGTTAAGATGGACAACTTGCTGAAAAACAGATGAAATCAATTATTTAAACCATTTTAATTTCTTTTTGAGCAACTGAGAATATTAAACTTTTGAGAATGGCCTGAAGGTAAGTATGGGCTTGGGTGGAAAGGAGGTACCCTGTAAAGCAAGGGAAACAGCTCAAGAAAAGGAAAAAAGTGAGAATTAACATGACCTACAGGGGAAAATCAACAGAGAACAAAAAAACAGAATGAAAGAATGGTATTTGTACTGGGTTTACGGGTAATGCAAAACAGCCACTGGTCAATTCAATGTTGAATTTTCTTATTAAGTTGATATATGCTAAACTTTCTCTGTTTGGCTGTTCAAGGCAAAGATAAAAAAGTTTAAGTTGGATATGACTAAATTTAGATTCTAAATAGAGAGAATACGATTGGAAAGCTTAAATATTTGGGATATTTCTCTGGCCTAGAGTAAGGGTTTAGGGGACAGCTAACACCAAGTATTCCATGACATCCACTGCTACACCTGACTACAGAATTAGATGGACTAATAAACGAAAAATGACAAGGTATGTCATATACAACACTGCTTACCTTAGTGATCTGTTTACGGAAATGGGGCATCTTTTTCATTAGCTGGGCAAGAGCACTAAGTGATACCTAGGAAAATAAAATATTTTAAAAATCAAACTTATGATTCAGTTATTCTATATAACAACTTTAAAATCCTGCTATTTTAAATATTTTTTAATTTATTAAACATCTGGAAAATTTTAAGAAAACAAATTCTAGAAATTTCTAGTTACAGCCACGACAGAGTAGGTGGTATCAAAATTACTCTCCCTCCATAAGCAAAAATAAAATGGGACAAAATTAAGACAACAGCTTTCAGGCAATGGATAGAAAAATAGCTCATTCAACTACATCAATAACTATATGAAATATATACACACTAAACATTTCAATTAAAAGATTGTCAGATTGAATAAACAAACAAAAATCAACTACTTTTTTTAATAAGCACATTTAAATACAGACATCAGGTGAAGTAGGCTTTAAGGCAAGAAATATTGCAAATGATAAGAAAATGATATTTTATGATGATAAAAAGATAAATTCAACAGAAAGATAACTATCTTACATTTATAATGATTCTAATGAACATGGCCTTATCAGTTGATACAGCGTCAAAAGTTGACAGAATTATTAAAAAAATCAAATTAATTCACAGTCATAATAAAAGATTTTAATATACCACTCTCAGTAACTGACAGAAAAAGCAGACAAAAAAAAAATCAGTAAATAGAAGATTTGAATAACATGATAACACAACTTAATTTAACTGACACATAAAGTTTATATTCTTTTTATGTACACATAGGGCATTAAACTACACTAGATCATATATGCTGGGTCACAAATCAAATCTGAACACATTTCAAAGGACTGAAATCATAATAGTGCACATTCTCTGGCCACTATTATAACTAAATTACAACTCAGTAACACAGATAAGTTGAAAATTCCCCAATTCTTTGAAATTGAAAAACATATTCCTATGTAACACGAGTCAAAGAAGAAATCACATTGGGCTGGCCGAGTGGCTCAGCTGGTTAAGAGCTTGCTTGGGAGCGCCAGCTCTGAGCAGCAGGGCCACGGTTCGGATCCCACACTGAGGGCCAATGATGCTGCGCCCTCTACAGCTAAGATGGTGAAGAACAGATCGACCTGGAGCTGGGCTGCTGTGAGTCGCCGGCGACAGCATAGGCTGCAATGGGCTGCTGTGAGCTACGTGAGTGGCTGGCAGCCACCATAAGCTGCCATGAGCCGCTGTGAGTGGCCGACCAATGACCGGCAACCGACTGCCTCACCCAGGAAGAGCACCATGATCATACCAACATGGGCCAGTGAAGTGAGGTCCTCCACAACTAGACTGAAGAACAAAACTGCAATTTGTCTACCTGTCTGTTCCCCTTCCCTGATTCTCCAACTCTGTTCCCCTCCCCCAATTTCCCAATAAAATCTTTAAAAAAAAAAAGAAGAAATCACAATGAAAGTTAGAAAATATTTGAGCTGAATTAAAATAAGTTGTTCCAAAACTTGTGGGATACACAGCTACAGCAATGTTGAGAAAGAAAGAGAAAAGGCTGAAAATCAATGCTCTAAACATCCAATTCAATTAGCTAGAAAAACAAATTAAGCAAAACAAAGTTCAAGGAAGGAAATAAAAATGAGTAGAAATCAATTAAATATAATACTAACATACAAAAAAAGAAATCTACAAAGCCAAAAGTTGATTCTTTGAAATATTACTAATATATATAGGGGATAGTAATAGTATATGGGATAAAACACAAATTACCAATATTAGGATTAAATTAATAGACTACAACTACCAATTCTACGGACACTGCAAGGATAAGAGGATATCTGAAAATGTAGGTGTAATAGACAAATCCCTTGAAAAATGCAACATCTCAAAACTGATACAAGAAAACATTAAAAATCTGAACAGCTTTACATTTAGTAAAGAACTTGTAATTAAAGACTTCCCCATAAAGAAAACTCCATGCCCAGACTGCTTCATTGAATTCTTTTTTTTTTTTTAATTTTTTTATTGGGGAGTTGGGGGAGGGGAACAGCGCTGAGTAAGCAGGAAAGGGGAACAGACAAGTTGCTGCTGTCCTTTTGCTCTTCAGTCTAGTTGTGGAGGACGTCGCTTCACTGGCCCATGTTGGTATTATCATTGTGTTCTTCCTGGGTGAGGCAGATTGGTTGCCAGCCCTGGACCACCACTCACAGCAGCTCTTGGCAGCTCATGCCAGCTGCTGGCAGCTCACAGTAGCCCACTGCAGCTTTACTCATGGCAGCCCAGCTCTGCTCCAGGTCGAGCTGTTGTTCACCATCTTAGCTGTAGAGGGCACAGTGTCACTGGCCCCCATGTGGGATCCAAACCGGGGCCCTGCTGCTGCTCAGAGCTGGAGTCCCAAGCCAACTCTTAACCAATGTGCCACTCGGCCGGCCCCATTGGTGAATTCTTTCAATCAATAACTGAACTAATAATAACAATCTTATACAGTTTCAGAGAATAAAATAAGGGAAAGCATTACAACTCATTTCAAGACCAATATATTCTTGCTACCAAAACCTGACAAGAACATTACCAAAAAAAGAAAAGAAAAAAAGGAATATTAGGGGGAAATATTTCTCATAAACCTGGAAGCAAACATCCTAAGCAAAATGTTAGCAAATAGAATCCAGCGATACAGGAAAAGAATAATGTATCATGACCAAGTGGAGTGTATTCCAGGAATGCATGGTTGGTTTAATGTTAGAGAATCAATGAATGTAATTTATCACATTAACAGAATAAAGGAGAAAAAAATAATTTCAACAGATGCTGAGAAGCATTTGATGAAGTCCAATACCCATTCCTAATTTTTTAAAAAAACCTGTTGGCAAGTTAAGAATAGAGAGGAACTTCCTTAATCTGAAAAAGGGTGTACCTAAACAATCTAAAACTAACATAACACTTAATGATAAAATATCAAACATGTTTCTCCTAAGGTTAGGAATGAGACAAGAATAGCCTCTATTACCAATTCTGTTCTACATTATATAGCTAGGAGGTATTAACTACTAATAAAACTAATTTAAAATAAGATTGAAAAGGATCAGCCTAACTTTATTCACTGATGTATCATTGTGTAACCTTCTGGGATGATGGAAATGTTCTATATCTTGATTAGGCGGTGGTTCCGGTGTGTGTGTGTGTGTGTGTGTGTGTGTGTACATATATATGTAAGGAAGTTATTCAGTATACATATAAGATTTGTGCATTTTACTTAGGTAAATTATACCTCAATATAAAAAACTTAGCAAGAGTACATTGGTGAAATTAGCTGAACAGCCTTTTAAAAATAAACTTTTATGAAGCAAGACAGGCAAAATGTTGCTAACTGTTGAGGAGAGGTTATCGCTACCTGGGAACTCATTTTCTCTACTTTTGTATGTTAGAAATTTCCCAAAATGAAAAGTTAAATAACATAAAAATTTAAAAAAAAATTTAAAATTCACCTTACTTATTACTTTGAAAGTTAAATAAGACTCTTCTTACCTTTCCTTCTGTTGCTTTCTTTGTTGACGAAATTTCCTTCATAAGCTTCGGAATTTCCCTGTCAAATTAAGAGAATTTTTTAAATTCCTAGGTGTAATTCTTTACAGAAACATTTTAAGATTACAAAATATACTATTATGTATTCAGGGTCCAAAAAATATGAAATAAAAATTAAAATGGGTTCACATACTCTAACACAACCGCAATATGCCGATGTCGAATTCTGACCCAGAGGTCATCGTCTTCTTCAAGGACTGCCTCCTTTTCTTTCCCATCTGTTTTATATCTACAAGTAGACATAAGTATAAAACTTTTGGATTATTCCCCCCCTCAAAAGTGAAAGAAACATTTTGACAAACAAAAATTTTAAAACAAAGCTCAAGAACTGAAAGAGTACATATCCGCTATTTTAGGGGGACAATGAAGATCTACTCAAAACTAAGGCATATTGCTATCCTTACATTAAAAATCGAAGTGCTATGCCTACCAAGACATTCTTACTTTCAAATGTTAGATTTAACTGTCATTATTATAGTTTTAGGTTAACAAAATGGTATTTTGTGAAATAAAAATTCAACATTCCATAATGAACTTTAAGAACAAGACAGAGTATACTAACAATTTGTGTAAATTGCTTAAAACATGATTTTAATGTACTAGTAACCATCAGCACAACTATCAAACTTCCATTAAGTAAAGAAGAGAAACATCACCCCCAATGTAGCCTATTAAATACTGAAGGTGTTCAGGGTTAGTACAAAATTCACAACCATATATCTGTTTCCATATTCTTTCCTAACCCTATAACCGCATCTCCTTTAAGAATGAGAAAGGAAATGAGAGAAAAACTAATGTAGCCACAAAAAACTGTGATTGCTTTAATGAGTCCTAATGAAGTAAGCAGCAACTCAAGGGGTTCATGAAATTACTTAAAATGGACTTCCTGACTGCTTACCCAAACTAATTTCTCTCTTCTCTTTTTATGCAGTTAGCCTCCTTCCATTGAGGAAGCTAAAAAGATTCAATCATCTTGGAGACTTTGAATTTCCTGAGCCAAGATTAGGAAAAATGGCACTGAGCTTTCCTACCTCTGGACAGCAGGCAATAAATTAGATTTCTGCTGTATGAATACAATCATTTCTATATCCCCCAAAATTACAGGTCCCATTTATAAAACCACTTACCTATATGTGGTCTTAATTACAGATGCCCAAGGGCAGAATGACTGTGCTCAATTACAAGACTGCACTAAGGATAGAGGCCCTTTTGTCATTTAAAATGCCACTTTGTACTCATACAATATCTTTAATCTTTTATTTATAAACAAAGATTACGGTAACAAGCCTGACAATACTAAAAGATAACAATTCCATTTTAAGAGTACATTTAAAGAAGTCACCAAGATGAAAAATAGATTCTGGGTACTTAGAATGTCCTGCGTTGTGTTCTATTTCCATTAAAAATTGTAAAAATTAAAAACTGAAGCACAGGGCCGACCGAGTGGCGCGTTGGTTAAGAGCTGGCTTGGGACGCCAGAGGGCCCTGGTTCGGATCCCACATATGAGGGCCAGTGACACTGCCCTCTACAAAAAAAAAAAAATTGAAGCACAAACCACAGGAAGTTCATGCTTCCATCTAGTCTTATCCCTGGAGTGTTTTGATTCATTAAAAAAAAAAAGTATGGGTGGCTTTTTAAAGAAAAATGGTAAGTCTCTCCCTTACTCTTAAAAAATTAAAACTTGCTTTGCTTGCTAGCAAACTCTAGAGAGAAAAGTATTTTAAATACTAGGTTAGAAATGTCTGAAATGTATGTCTATAGTCTGAAACCAAATCCTTTAGAGTCCATCAGTTCAATTCTTTTGTAAACCTCTTGAGCAATGCAGGTATAGAGACCTAAAGGATAACAGAGGTAATAATATACCTTCTGAAAATTCTGAATAAGCTGTTTGAAACTACTTTTATATTAGAGAAAAAGCTATGTTGATTTCTCTATGTCATCTAACATTAACACAAACAAAATAGATAAAAATCCAGAAACCAGGATTTGACCAGAATTCAAATTAAAATACAATCGAAAATACTAAATTAGATTAACAATATTTGGTTTAAGAAAAAAATGTTAAGTATTGTAATTATCACAAGTGTTTGGATCTTTTTAACCCATTAAAATTACTAAATTATTTTAAATATAAAATTTCACAAAACTAATTTTCATTTTTACTACTATGTTCAAACAGTAAATCTCAGCTAAAAATGTCTCTTTGGATTTAGCGATTATATCAAACATGTTACATATATATGCACATGCATATACACACAAATGATACACAAAGACAATAAAATGGGTCCTTGATAGAAAATCTATTTTATTTTTCATTTAGCTTTCTATTTCACATTACTTTTGAAGTAAATATGCTTATATCAGGGTTAAGTCAACACTAAGTACCAAACTGGTAAAACTGTCTATCCCAATAGCCATTTTATTTAGTTTTCCAGTCTTCTAATCTCTTTAAGTACATTACACTGACAAGATACACATATGGATACTTCTGGGTGTGTGATGACCAGTTTGAATATCCTTACTACTTCAATAAATATAGTAGTAGGTGTGGCACTTACTCTTAACTAAGTGAAAAGTCCGAATTTCACCTGTTTAAATGTAGCTTTGTTGTAGACATATTTAAAGAAGCAAATATACCAAAAAACCTTCAAAGCAGTCAACGTACCCATTAACTTACAAGGACAAGATATGTTTAATAGATTATGGTTATCGGGGAAAGAGAAGGGTAGTCTCTGAATAAAAAAGGTCACAGAGGCTTTAGATCTCTGGTGCCTCCACAAATTACTAAATGCTCAGATCTTCTCCTGTTTCTATATGCCCTTTATATGCCCTTCAAGTTATACTTGCTTGTATGTATCATTCTCAATTGGCAGTAGATCATATGCCATTGCCTGAAACGTCAGTTCATGCAGGACAGTAGACACAGGATCAAAGCCACGATCAATTATTATGAGCTGGGAGTGAGTTTTACCCTGGAATAATAAGATAAAATTATCTTAAACTTCAATTTCCTTGTTTGAACACATATTTAATATCTTAGAAAACAAAAGCAGACTTTTCTTAAGTTTTGTCACATTCTTAAGATTGTGAAGTTACATTAAGATAGAAAAATCTGAGTGGCACAATAGGGGGAAAAACAAGACTACAAAAGCAAAAGCTTTCATAATTAGATTAAGAATATCTATATTCAATAATACAATACTGTGAAAATCCCTTTTAAAAAGTAACATTTGGCTTGTACTAAATCTATTTTCTTAGGAATTCAGCTCCATAAACACTAAAACTGATATAAATTATAACCAGAAGCTACTACTTGAGCATATTGTGCTAAGCAAGAAATACATATAATGGTTAATTCTTATAGCAACCCTCTGAGACAGGTATTCTTATCTCCATTTGACAATGAAGGCATTAAGGCTTAAAAGTAACTTGCCTAAATCAGTGAGGACCACTTCATAAGTTATATAAATGTCTAACCAGTATGCCTTATACCTGAAACAAATATAATATCAAATGTCAACTGTAAGTGAAAAACTTAAAAAGTTACATTACTTGCCCAAATCACACAGTTAGTAAAAGGTTCAAACTCAGGCCTGTGCTCTTAACCATTATGCTATTTAAAAACATTAAATTGCTAAAAATAAGCAAATAAAAAAACCATTATATTGTTGCCAGCTAGGGAGATAAATCATGATGAAAGCCTTGCTATTATTAATTCACAAACAGCACTAATTATTAAACAGTGAATATTATTACTGGGAAAAACAATTGTTAATATCAATCTTTCATATTTATTTTAAAAAGTAATAAATTCTTTGGATTATTGTTCAAAGCAGTAAGAGATAACTACAACTCCTCAAACAAACATTTCCTATTTACTTACATACAGCAAAGGTAAATTACATAGGATAATCTTTAAAGTATTTTTAAATTAACCATTCATTCATTTAAATAAACCTTCAGACAATATGGTTAAGAGCACAGCCTCTGGAATCAGACATATTCAGGGTTTGAGTCCAGCCTTGACCACTTCCTTGCAGTATGATTCTGGACAAATTGCTTAACTTGTTAATATCTCAGGATTCTCATTTGTAGAACAAAATATAATCAGAACCTCTGCTTATAAGACTATTGTAAAGCTTAAATGTAATAATACAGTGAAATACTTAGCATAGTATGGCACTTAGTAAGCCCTCAATACATGTAAGTTATGAGTCTTCAGAAATTTGAGTAGGAAAAAGTGCAATATATGTAAGTACTATATCAGGACTTGGGATTATGACAATATGTGGGAGGAAGTATCACTTGACCTGAAGGAAAGGCTTTAAAAGAAAGGTGCCACTTTATCAGGTCCTTAAATGAAAGAAATGTATCAAGCATTTGAAAGAATGTATAATTTCCAGGCAGAAAGAATGGAAAGGGTATTTTATTTATTTTTGTGGATTTTGCCTCTTTTTTCACGGAAATCATGAAGGACTAAAGGGATATTTACTAATATATTGATTGTCTATCTCTTCCCTTATTCAACATGTATTGACTATCTACTGTACTATGTGTACTGAGCCATTGTCTTCATAACTACTATCAGCAGTTTTCACTAGGCCTCCAAACCAAAAATCAGTAAAAAGTTCTAAACTATTAATAATATTATAATTAAGCTTATACCCTCCATTCTAACCAAGTTGTTTGATTGTGGATTGTACCTTTTTCTCTGTGCGTCTGCCCCCGAAATACTGTTATCCAAGCAACAAAACCCTTCTCCTATCACATTACATTCATTCTTCAAGTTCAAGGGCCTCTTCCTCTAGGATGCCTTCTAGGATTCCAGTTAGAAGAAGATTAAGCCCCAGCCTACATGCCCATTACATTCTATGTTTTCTTCTCTCATTCCACTTATCACGTAGAATTGTAACTGGTGGTTTCTTTGCCCATCTCCTCTTCTAAACAATCAACAGTTTCTTCCTTTCATTCTTTAGCTACTGTAATATGGCTTCCTAGCCCTCTGGTACCACCTCTGTCAGTCCCCTCAGGTTCTTCATTCTCCAACCCAGGCTTAAATTCTGGTATCCCTCAGATTTCAACCTTAGTCTTTGATTACTTTATGCTATTTTTGTAAGACAGTAACAGCTGCCATTTATTAAACTCTTGCATGTGTCAAATACATGTTAATTGACCTAATTTTCATACCAACTAAGCAAGGTATGTTATCTCATCCATTTTATATATGAAAATACAACTCAGAGTAAATCTTTTGTCCAAGGTCACAGAACTAGTACTAATACGAATAACTATTTTACTAAATGTTTGCTCAGTGGCAAGCATCATTCTAAGAAATTTTACAAGTATTAACTCTTTTAATATTCTCATTACTTTATGAAATAGGTATTCTCTCATTACCCCCATTTTACAGGTAAAAAAACTTAGAAACAGGGAAGTTACACAATTTGCCTAAATTAACATATCTATGAATTAAATGACAGTCAGGATTTGGACACAGTGCTTAATTTCAAACCACATTATGTTCCGCACTAAACTACACTACACTAAGGTTTCCACTACCGTCTATATTAATGATTCCCAAATCAATATTGGGAATCTATGCTAATGATTCCTAAATCAATACTGGAAAATGAATGAACAATAGTTTCTTTGGTTTATAAACATATAAGTCAGACTGTATGCGTAACCCCTATTTGCCTTTTATACTTTACCTTTATTAGGCTCTTTTCATCAGTCTTGTAGTAGTTTTCAAGTTTCTTTTCAACAAGCTGGGCAAGCTTACTGGCATTATCTAGAGGTTTACTAGAAATGGAAAAAACGTTCAATCATCTTTCTTTCAAGACACGTTACAATATCATAAAGTTGAATTCTTAAAATTAAACCATGTAATTTATTTAACAAGATTTAATTAATTTAATTAACAAGATTTTATATAAATATAATATACGAATTTGTTTGGATTTTATAAACGTAAACATTATCATATATGCTTCAGGTATTTTTAATATAAAGGAAATAAAATATTGTTGCATTATAGCCGATTCCGTTACCACCCCCCTACATTAGCCTCTGACCCATTAGTCGAGAGAGTGTCTCGGAAAACTGAGGCTGATGGAATGCTATCTGTAAAGCTCTCTCAGGGAGTGTTTCAGGTGACTGGGACCTATTGGAATGATAATAGTTATCTCCCCTGGGAGGACACAGTAACAGTGTCTTGGGGCTATGTGGAGGAAGTGTGAAGGCACAGGATGTGCTGGAACACAAAGGGAATGCTAATGGAAAAGGTCTTAAGGCACACATAAGTCACGGGTTACAAATTGATTGACAGCAGTGAAGCAGTTTCACTTCTTTTCAAATTTCTCAATAAAAGCCATGCGCTGACCCGATTCGGGGCTCACTCAGTCTTCTCTGGCTGAGTCCCTTGGTCTCGCTCTTAATCTTACTTTTGTCTCTTGCTCTTATTCAATTTGCGTCGCCCCTTAAGAGAAACCTATTTGCCCTTGCCACGCTGGACGTGACAAAATGATAAATAAAATTGCGGTTCCCTTTATTCCACTCCCAATTCCTGGTCTTCTTCCCCTTCCTCTACACTCCTCCATCCCCAAGGCAACCACTATCATGAATTTAGTTTGTATTCTTCCTGCCATTACTGTTGTGTGTGTGTGTGTGTGTATGTGTGTGTGTGTGTGTATACACACACTGTTTTATGTTTTAACAGTGTGTTTTTTTACTGTTTTATATATATATATGCACGAGATCTATATATGGTGACACATATATCAAATTTATTCATTTTAGTTCGACACAGTATTCTATCATATGATTATACCACATTCTATGTATTCACTCCCCTCAAGATGGACATTTAAGTCATTCTCAATTTTATCCTATTGCAAATAACGTTGAAACAAATATCTTTTTTTTTTTTTATTTTTTATTGGGTAACAGTGTGTTTTTCCTAGGACCCAACCAGCTCCAAGTCAAGTTGTTGTTTTCAGTCTAGTTGTGGGTGGGCATAGCCCACCATCCCATGTGGGAATCGAACCAGCAACCTTGTTAAGAGCTCGTGCTCTAACCAAGTGATCAATCCTGCCGCCCAAAAACAAATATCTTTGTACATACATCTCCATGTGCTTGTTTCTCTACATATATTACATCTAGAAGTATAATGGCTGGGTCATAGAGTATGTACGTTTCCAACTTTTTTAGATATTACCATATTACTCTCCAAATCAGCTGACCAATTATCCCACCCGCTAGAAGTGTGAGATTTCCCCACACGTTCTCTAACATTTGGTCACTTTCCAATATAGTCTTTACATAAAATTTTATATATTACTGTCTTCTGAAATGATAAATATCATACTCTAGCTTGTAATTTCATGACCAGTGGCATGAGTATACCTTCCAAGTCTACAAGAAAAATGTTGGAAAAGGCTCTTCAATTAGCACACCAACCTCAAAAATATCTCATTGTGAGGGCTTCAAAGTGTTAAAGAATCTTTGTTTTATACCTTAAAAACAAATAAAGCAGCAACTTATAAAGAATAATTTATTACACATTTTGTTTTAAACTTTCAAAAAATAATAATTTCATGTTAGAATTACACTTTAAAAGTCCATTAGGCATAAAGGAACACTTTGCAAAAGAACAAGTAGGATTTTGAAAGCCTGGATTATTAATATTTAACTATTACAGTAACTCAAAACAGGTCCATAGGCGAGATATGGTTATATTTACTCATGTCCTTGAACAGAGCCAATCATTAAGAATAGAAGCTTGAATGGAGATTGAACTCTGGCAGAAGATAAGCCATTTAGCTCTCTGCTCCAGTGAGTTCAGAATGTAATTAGCATATCACCTATAAGAAAAAGAATGTTTCCAATACTTGAGGTATGAGTAAAGAGCTTGTTTTAATAACACCTGAATTAAGGAGTTTTATTATGTATTTTTTCTAAGTAACTAATAGATTTTGTAAATGGTTAAGAGTAATGTAACTTAAATATAAAGCACTACAGGAATTTCAAATTAAACAATTCAGCCAACTAACTTGACAAATGCCAATGTTTAAAGAACCTTTTAAAAGAGAAATGAGTGATAATCTTTATTATTAGTAATACTACTACCATTTTATTAGTGCCATGGACTATTAGTGCTTTACAGGTATTAACTCATTTAATTCTAACAAACCATCTTATAAGGTGAGTACTACTATCATTCCCATTTCATAGATAAGGAAGACTGAGAAAAGAAGGGTCACACAGCTGGTAAAGATTAAAATCCAAGCTGTCTGGTTACATACACAACATGGATGACTCTCAGAACATAATACTGAACAAAGAAGCCAGAAACAAAGCATATCGTATGATTCTATTTATACCCAATTCAAAATCGGAACTCTAAAATATGTGTTAAAAGTCAGGAGAGTAGTTACCTTTGGAGAGGAGAGAGGGGAGAGTGGCTAGAAGGGATCAGGAGGGGTGCCACTGAGATGCTGTTAATTTTCCCCTTCTTGACCTTGGTGGGTTAGACGGTATGTCCACTTTGGAATGACTTATCAAGCTATACACATATAGTTTGTGTACTTAACAGTAAACTTGATTTTTAAAAAGAAGCAAATAAATGTGCATACTACTAAAGTCAAACTTTACCTCTTAAAAACTCCCAAAAATCTATTTTAAATGGCCATTGGGATTAGATACTATAGATATTTAGACACGCTAACCTGTATCTAGATAATATGGCCACTTAAATATGGTGGAAACTTAATAAAAGGTTAAATATGAGACTGTAACCCCTATATGACAACAAAGACATTTACGCTAAGCATTCCTAAACTCATGAAAAAATATGCCAATAAATCATACAAATTTAATCTGAAATTCAGTAACAGAGGCTATTAGTTACTCTGAACTTTAAACCTTACACTTTAAATCTCCTGTATGTACGGCGTAATTTTACAAGGAAAATAAATTTTGCAAACCAATACACGTAAGCACAGAGACATTTCTTACCTCTATACTGGACAGCAGATAGAAAGCATAACATAGACACTACTGAGTGTCTTACCTTTTATATCTTACTCCGGGATTTTCATCCAGGGTAGCACATACTGTAACTATCTGCTCAGCCATTGCTTCCATTACGGCGTCTTTTCCGCTGGCATTATTGGGGTCTGGACTGTAACAGTAATAGAATGCATCTGGTACATCAAGAGTATATACCTAAGGCAGACCAAAAAAAGTCACACTGTCAATTCTGTAGACTCGTTAAAAATATACATCAAGAGGGCCGGCCGAGTGGCGCGATGGTTAAGAACTCGCTTGGGATGCCAGAGGGCCCCGGTTCGGATCCCACATATGAGGGCCAGTGACACTGCCCTCCACAGCTAAGATGCTGAACAACAGCTCAACCTGGAGCTGGGCTGCCATGAGTCGCCGGCGACGGCGTGGGCTGCAGTCCCTGTGGCAGTGCATTGCCATGGGCTACCGTGTGTGGCCAGCAGCCAGCGTGAGCGGCCAGCAGCCGCAGTGAGCGGCCGTCCAGAAGCCGGCGACTGATCTGCCTCGCCCGGGAAGAGCGCAATGATGGTGCCAACTTGGGCCAGTGAAGCAACGTCCTCCACAACTAGATTGAAGAACAAAACGACAGCAACTTGTCTGTTCCCCTGTCCCCAATTCCCCAGCACTGTTCCCATCCCCCCAATTCCCCAATAAAAATCTTTAAAAAATATATATATATATACATCAAGAAAAATGGGGCTATTGCTTGGGACATTAAAAAAATACTTGTAGTAACCATGCTGTTTTCTGAAACAACTGTGTCTTTACCTTAATCAAATCTCATTTTCTCCGTCATCTTGATTTCATCCTTTCTTTTCTCACTCTCCTTTCCTGCTTAGCCTACCTCTCTCCTTCAGTTCTTGTTTCATATACAGATAGTACTGTTTGCTTTTCACTACCTGTGCAGCAGATGAGGGAATCTGAAGTAGTCAAACTAAAATACAACTCTAATACTAAGCACAAGAAAATACAACAAAGCCAAAATTGGTCTATATGTTTGACATCCACTAAACACCTTCTAGAGAATAATCTAAAAATTTTCCATAGATGATACATAGCTTCAATTTTTTAGCTTATACTCTTCATGTCCTTAAAATAAAGATACACTTCCTAAGACACAATATTGTGCCAGACACAGTACTGGTCTTACCATATATACAGTAAAACCTCACAGACACATTTACTCAACTAACAAAAGCATTTACTTACTCGTGTGTGCAAAGAATCAGATTAGAGATTTAATATTATTGTTATTTGAATAATACAAATGAAGAAGCTCTCTAATTGGAGTTGAGCGTTCCCCATTAAACTATTGGGTTGTTGGAAAAGTCATGACATATTTTTCTATGTTTTTTGTTGCAAAAATGTGTCATGACTTTTCAGACCACCCAATAATTTTTTTTTTAAACAATGATAGTAATCCCTCTTAGCCTAGGATAATGTATTGAGTGTAACACTAGGTATACATTAAACATTATAGGTTAATGAATGAATTATAAATAAACTTCCCTGCATTTCCTTTCACACGAAGTCATTCATTTCTTTTAACATAACGCATCACCAAGAGCAGCAGCCTGAACATCGACTGAGATTTAGCTATAGTGAATCCGCTTACATCTGTGCTGCTCAAAGTCTTGGTTGCTGTATTAACTGCCAACAAGCATCCTACAGCTGGATGGTGGTTTTCTCATAATATACTATCCTACTGCAGTAGATAATATTACCTGTTCAAAAATATTACCTGCCCCTCTCTACAAGGCCTCTCTCTATAGGAGTATTTTCCCACTCACTGATGTCGGGCTCATCTATGGTCACTGGAATCTGACTAGAAGTGATACATGCCACTTCCCCACAGAAGCTTTAAAAGCATGTGTGGCTCCACCATTTCTCTTTTCCCTCTGCTACATCCCGGACAGGGGCTACTCCTTCGGCCTCAGTCACAGAATGAAGAGGATGAGGAGCAAAGCCCTGGTCAAACCACAGTGGACAACAACATGAATGAGAAATACACTTTGTGGTTGTAGTGCACTAGATCTGGGGAGTTGTTACCACAGTTGAAATTACTCTAAGCTATCTAATACTCCAATGAACCAAACAGGATTGTGGAGCAGGTTTTCATTCTACATTCATGTCTCTTCCCTTTCCCTTCTTCTCCTCTGCCCCATTTCCCATCACCACCATTACATATTCCTTTAGACCATGATCAAATGCTTTATTCATCTTTAAGACTCACAATCGCTCTTTAAATAGACACCTGTAACTTCCATCTACCTTTTTTGCTAATCTCTAGCTAGCTTAGCTCTATTTCTACCCAGATTCTGTCTAGCATCCTCTCCACTAACGATACCAGACGCTTTGTATTCCCTAAGGCTCACTGTAAACAAACTCCCCTATATTCTTGAGTGCTTTCTATCTAATTGCCTTAATTACCTTAAGGCCTCTGAAAGGGATTTGAGAGGAGTGAGTCAAATTTCGTCCTCCCCATGCAACTTCTCAATGTGTTGAGTGTCCAACTTTTTTTGGGGGGAGCACAGTGGTATCTGACTTTACCAGTCTCAACAATGATCTCCTGACTTCTACTTTTCCTTAAAGACTTTAGGCCCAGTCTCACAGTTTTCTGTACCTTCCCATTTTCTGCCATCATTCTTGGTGGGACCTGGAGCCTCCTACTACATGGTCCCAAACTACCTATAGAGACAGCCTTATCTACCATAACTTCACCCCTTATAATCCATTTTTCCTGATGCTCCCCTGCACTTTACTGCTTCTGTATCTTAGCAATCAAGCTATTCTTACTTTCTAGAATATTCTTTCCCTTTTCTTTTACTACCTTATGAAATTCTATTCTTTCTTCAAATGTTTTCCCATTCTCCGAGTACGGAAGGAATACTCTCTCTCCTCTTGTGGCAGACTGTGAGCTGCCTCCCCCAAACCATTCTTCCCTTACTTTTCAGTAACTATACCAATGCTTTGGGAGGAAGCAGCCATACACCCAGATAAAACACCACATTTCTGTTTCTCATGCACTAGAGATAACCATGTGACTAAATTTTAGAAAATAAGATACAAATGAAAACCATGTATTTCTTCCTTTCTCTCCTTCATTCTGCTTTCTCAAATGAAGATGTAATAAACCGACAGTCATCTGAGATCATGCGAGCCATGTCCCGGGACTGGGCCCTGACAATTTTGTAGAGTCAGCATACCAGCCTTATATAACCCATTTCCTGACTTCTTTTATATTATCAAGGAGTAAGTTTCCAAAAAAAAAAAAAAAAAAGTTTCCATCTTGTTTAAGCCACTGAATGTTTAAATTTTTGTTGTGTGCAGTTGAACCTAATCTTAATTGATAACATTTTGAAGATGTGTAACATTTGTTTTTTTGTTTTTTTTTTACAGTACTCAGATAAGGGAAGGCCATGTATCTTGCTCATCTTTTCACAGCAGACTGTTTTGCATCTTATAGACAATGTGCACAGCACACGATCTTGGTAAATGCTCACATACGCCTTTGCTCATAGCATAATACAGTAGCATTTCATTTATATCTTCACTAGCAAACAAAAGTTCAAAATATTTTCACTGTAATTTCTCCCTAACAGTTAAGTTTATTAAGTAAACCCTCTTAAGATGTTTATCAAGGAAGTAAATAAAAGAAAAAACTTAAGGGAAAAATATAGCAGACAGATAGGGCCTTAAATAATCACAACATTTTGCAAAGACTGGTAAGTAGAAGATTCTTATGAGATTTCTCTATACATACATAGACAAGTTATTTCCATTAGCCATCAAATTTGCCAGATATCTACACAAATCTCCCCTTCAAATATAGCAATTCCACAATTTCAATAAATTTGGGGCTTTAAACTGTATCTTCTGTGCAGCAGATGCTTTGGATATGTTTGTAATATTTATCACACTACTGTTCATATCCTACATGATTTTAGGAAGCCCATTTCACTCTACACTAAACTCACCTATCATACTAAAAGGAACAGGTCTAAAGGTAACCTTTGGAAAACCGTTTAATGTTAACCAGATAATGTTAAAATTTTACAATTTGGATTATAATCTTTCTTTGTCAAGAACCGCAATAGCTTAAAAGAGAAATCCTTTATCTAGAACCTTTCTATCTCTTAAAATATTGACTGTACAGTTCCAAACAACAGTAAACGATTTCAATTCTATAAAATACTAGAATCCAAACAGAGAACAGAGCACAACAAAGCTAAACAGTGCACTGTGTGATTTGGGGCCAGTTTTTTTTATCTCCCCATCTTTAAAATGGAGATAAAATTACCATCTATTCATAGGGCTATTATACAGATTGCATAAACACATTTATGTAAAGCATTTAGGAAAGTGACACAGAGTACTGTGTTTGCTACTATCATATTATTAGTTGAAGGCTAATTAACTATTCCAAAGGCAAAACAGATCAACAAAAATCTTTTGCTTCATAAATTTTTTAAAAAATGATAATTTATATAATGATAAAAAATAATTTATATAATTTATATAATGTTATATAGAACATTTGTTTTAATATCACAAATGATTTGTTTTAATATAAAAAATGACTAGAGAAGCTAAAAGTATTTTTTGTGGCGTGATCTGACAAAGATTGTTCTAAAAATCATTTGATTTTATAATGTAATAGTGCTATAAAACTTGATATACACAGGACTTAGTGGCAGATGTGAAATTTAAGCTCCACTTTCATTATTAATGTATTCCAATTAAGTGCTCGTGTTCTTCCCTTCATCATAGGAAATGTTTATTTGTGGATTACTCAAAATTCACCAAATACACAATACATAATACATCTTTAGGATATACTTTACTAACAAATAAGCTCATAAACCAAATTTTAAAATCGATATGAAATAAAATTAAAAATAAAAATAGAAAGTACCTGAGATTCAAGTGGAATAAAGGAAATATTTATTTCTTTACATCTTCTTACTGACTTGGAGCAAGCCTTAATTTTGTTAAAGAGGCTATCAGGGCAAACTGAAAGTATAAAAAAAAAATAAATTAAAAAAAAAAGCATATAACTCCATCTAAATTTTTGTTCTTTTGAATAAATCATTCCAACATCCAAGAATATTTACTTTTTATGTATAATTACTGATTTTCACAAAGTAATTTACTATGAGGACAAAGTTAAGTGTAAATATTGTTCTCCACTTTATAGAGCAGATGTATTCCAGCCAAGAGCACTGTAACAGAAATTCCATTTTCTCCGTTCATATCTACCATAGCCTAAGATACATTTCCTTAGAGAGCTACTAACACAGCAAACTTAAATTGGTAGGAAGGAAAACCAGGTACAAACTCATGATTTAGTAACATTTTGTAGGACTTTCAGAACGTCTTAGGAATTTACACTACTTTTCTAATTCTGCCTTAATATTAAGTACAACGATACTACACAAATTGTTAATTTTCTTGAATTACAGGACGTTCTCTAATGTCAGGAAATTCTAAGATTCTAAGCTAATAAGTTCTGGACCTTAGAGCTCATTTTTTTCTTTCCCCATTTATCTGTTTATAGTTCCATTAAAACTAAGTTGGAATATCAATCATTGGCTCTAGTGTCTAAAACATGAAGTTCTTTAGCCTCAAGATTCCTTAAGTTAAAAAAAGGCTTGGGCCAGCTGAGTGGCTAGTTGGTTAAGAGCTGGCTTGGGAGTGCGAGCTCTGAGCAGCAGGGCCACCGGTTTGGATCCCACATGGGCCAGTGATGCTGCGCCCTCTACAGCTAAGATGGTGAACAACAGCTTGACTTGGAGTTAGGCTGCTGTGAATCGCCGGTGATGGCATAGGCTGCAGTGGGCTGCTGTAAGCTACCGTGAATGACCGGCAGCCAGCGTGAGCAGCCGGCAGCTGGTGTGAGCCACCGTGAGCGGCCGTCCAATGCCGGCAACCAATCTGCCTCAGCTGGGATGAGCGCAATGATCACAATACCAACATGGGCCAGTGAAGTGACATCCTCCACAACTAGACTGAAGAACAAAAGGACAGCAACTTGTCTGTTCCCCTCCCCCAATTTCCCAATTAAAAAAAAATCTAAAAAAAAGAAGTCTTCACATTAATTAAATTCTATCAATTCCATGAACATGAATTTCTGCATAATAAGGTTACCTGAATGATATGACAGTTTTAAAAATGCAAACTACCAGGCATGATATAAACATTAACAAGAAAAATAATACACTACTTAAAATGATGAATCTCTAATAGCAGAGACCAAGACCTAACTTAGATCAAAGGCATTTTTATTTTGCAGTGTAATTACATAAGATATAACATAAAACTGAATTATATGTGTCTCTTGACTTCTCTGTGATTCTTTTGTGTAGCTGATTTCTATTTGAACATATGACACAGTAAGAGAAATGTGATAGATTTTTTCTATTACTATCTGCCAAACAAATGGCAGTTTCTTCAGTGCCCTCCCAAAAGAGTCTTATTTTTTGTTATATAATCAAATCCCCAATTGAAACTGATTTTTTAAAAAAGAATTCTTCCTGTCATCAGCACAGAATTTGAGGGAGAGCCCTCTCCACCAACTCCCACACCCCTGTATATCAGAAAAAATGACTGTCTTGAAACTGGCTTGAAATGATTTCTTTTAATTTTCTATCATCTTAACATGAATTAGGATACATGTGATCTTATATTTTTAGATTCTTTCTAACCTAATCAGGATAAAAAGTCAGTAGTATTGAAATATAATATATTATAAGAAATAGGCTCAAGAGTTTGAGCTCTGAGCAACAGCAGTTCGATGCCCGGCCAGAGCTGAGCTGCCACTGAGCTGCCAACAGGTGGCAGGATGGCTCAGCTAAAAAAAAAAAAGAAATAGATACTTTATAATTAATAGTATTTTAAACAATAAAGCAATGACTTTTACAAAGATACTTACAGTCAGTGAAGTATATATATGCTGCTTTATATTTGTTCTCCGATTTAGTCCCAAAATCACATAAAAAACAATCTACAGACTTAAGAAAGGTTAGATGTTAATATATATACATTTTGTCAAATACTAATTTAAATATGCTAGCTGTTGAAATAACTAAGATTATTTTACTTCGATGATAAAATAAAACCTGTCTGAAAGTTTATAAACTTATTTTTTAAGATGCTATGTTGTCTAGCCAGTGATAGCTACAAGCATAATAAATAGTAAGGTAATATGAACAGAGTGCTGTTTTGGCAACAAGGAAATGTAGAAATGATCAAGTAACTGGGAAGCTACAGCAACTGAGAAGACGAGACCACTGGAAGACAACAGATCAAGGAACTGACAAGTCACTGAACGTACTGGAAGTATTATCTACACGGATACTGAAACCACCAAGACTGTGACTGGAGAAGTGCTGAAGAGTGACAGTGAGCTAGGAGCTAAAATTGTCAAGGGATTAGAATGAAACACCTAAAGGTTGGTAGATGACTGCAAGAGGAGGAACAGCAGGTAATACAGTCTGGTAGTACATGACTCAATGCTTCCAGTTTTAAAGACACAATGATCTGGAAGCAAAAAATAAGGACAAAGGATTTCACTCTCTCTCCATCTGTTCCTTTTCCTCCTTCTTGAACTCCTAGAGCTATATTTCTGTTAGATCTCATGGATCTATCCTGCAAGTCTCTTTCCCCCCCATGATTTCCAGGACTGTTTTTTTTGCTCTGAGATACTCCATTTTGTTATTCTAGGCTATTGATTCAAATTTCAATAGTGATTATCCTCTTCTTCAGTTAACTGAGAAATAACACTTTTGAGCTTCAGGAAGTTTTTTATGCTGTACTAGACTCTCCTTATGTGTACTATTTTTCTATTCAGGTTATTGTCCTTTTCTCCAAGAAGCTGTGCTTTGCTAGATGTGTTTTCTTTATTCTTACTGAACTTCCTCTTTCAGCAGCTTGACCCACTTAGATGTGTGGTTGCTTTTCTTTGTCAGCTCACTTGAGCTATTGGAGTATCCTAAATAGGACAGGTTTAGTTGTTCGAGTGTCCTAAATAGAGGCAGTTTCACAAGAGGAGGAAGGCAAAGTGGTTGCTCCTCTGGGAGGGCTATAGGTATAAAAGCAAACACATCCCCAGGGCTTTCCTGAGACAACCAACTGAGCTTTCCCCTGGGATTCACGGATCTCTTACAGCCAAACTATTCCTGAAATCTGTCATTTTATGATTCTTGCCTAGGAATTGTCTGATCTGGTCTCCAGGTGATTGCCCAGCCCCTGAAGAAGGAAGTCTCACACCAGGATTCTCTACCAGTGCCCAAGGGACCCAAGGCCTCATTTACACCCAGAAGCATATAGGGTTCAACAGGTAATTGTTAAGGAAAGGAAAATAAACTGTATTTGGTTGCAGTATTAAAAGGGGTCACATTCAGGTACATTTTCTCTGAATCCTTTGCCCCTTTATTGAATATACAATTTTGTATCCTGCTTTTCTCACTTATCATTGAAAATGAACTTCTACCTAGATCTTTAAAATTTCCTAGAAACCTCATTTTCAATAGCTACATGGTCTTTCATACCATTATTTGTTAATGTTAGGAATTTAGCATTAGATTTATTTATTGCTAGGTATTTAATTTGACCATTTATTTGATTATTTCTTTAAAATACACTTGAAGATATAGACTGTTTGAAGTTCTTGATAAAGAACGGCAAATTATTTTTCAAAAAGGCAGTTATCAATCTATACTCCCGCTAGCAATATAGTTTCTGCTCCATTACCCATTGATAGCTAGAATATGAGATAGACAGATAGATAGATGATATATAGATATATATATCTATATATACACATATATACTTTTTATAAAAATCCCTCTGCCAATTTAGTAGGTAAAAAATGGTGCTTTTAGCTCACATTTTCTCTAATCATGAATTTTATCTTAGGAAATGATATCATGAATAAGATACAAAAAACCCACCAGCAGCCAACATGTAGAGACTAAACAGTGAATATCTAGGTTCTTTCCTACTGTCTGCCAAAGTTAGAAAAAATGAAACTGGAGTTGCCTAACTAACTAACATTCTAGGTGAGAATAAGCCAAAGAATGTGCTGGAAAATGCATTTTCAGATAGTGTACAGAATAAAGGAATTTTATACTTTGTTTGGCTTTAAGTATGAGTTAAATAATGGTTAGATTATAAACAAAAAAAATTCCTTTGACATAAAATACATATATACATGCATGCATATATACACATGAATACACATACACATATATATGTTATAGGGAAGTCCACTAAGCAAAATGAAGGATTAATCCAAGACTATTTAAGTACATTTCCATCCTCTCAAAAATTATCGTTACATAGGAACTGCATGAGTAACAAATTACTCAAACTTTAACATTTTATACAATTAAATTCTGCTTTCATATGAGGAGAGATAGAAATTTTTTCACTTACATACTTTTCTTAAAAGTGCAAATGAAACAATCTTCTAACACAGAAAACTTTCCTAAGCAAACTAGTTTATGGCACTATTTTTCTAATAAAGGTTATTTTATTACTTTGAATTTTCTGTGAGAAAATCATGTCAATAATGAAAATGTTAAAGAATGTACTTTATAAAGATTCAAAATACTCACCTTTGATGTCGGAGAGATAAAATAAAGAGCTTTCATTTGTCTGACAGGTTCTCGATTCTTATAAATATTCTCTACAACTAACAAAAAAAAAGTCATTTTATATAACCAAATATTTATACACTTGAAATAATTTTTAAATAAACTACTGTACTTCTTATATATAATAATAGGAAAACATATTTACGTATCTTGGGTTTAACATTTTCTTTGCCTTCATTTTATAAATTAAAAAACTAAAACTGTGTCTTCCCTAAGGCTAAACTCTGGGCTAAGTGCTCATCATGAGAAGAAAAGATAAAGCAGTTATTTCATAGTTAGGTCTACCATCATAAGCAATCGACATGCCATGAATAAACCAAGAAAATACTTTAAAAATTAAAATATGTACTTCTTTTAAAAAATATTCTACTATAATAGCAAATACAGTACCAGATACAAGGCTAAACACTTTACAGGTTTAGTTAAACCTTATAATGACCCTAGAACCATCTTTTAAAACTGATGTTGGCAAAGGGCCTAGAAAGAATTAAAAACATTAATCTAACATGCAAGGGAGGATACTGTTGCACTTTTCTTTTAAATATGATACATTTTCACATTCCTAAATTTATATTTGTACAGTATAGGTTTATCGTAGTTTCTATTAGATAGAATATCAAATAAGATTTCCAGGAAATATTTTATTTTTATCTCCATTCCCAACAATTGTAATTCTACCTTTAAACAACAAGGTTAAGTAAGTGTTAACTTTCTTTTATTGCTTAATACTCAAAATGAAGTGTCTTACAGTCATCTTATGCTACACATATTATTATGTTTGGTAAATAATGCACATGTTAAAGTGTTGTAAAAATACTGTGATAATGATTTAGAACACAGACACTGATAATATTCTGAAATGTCTGGTAAACAATAGCAGAAAGTGCCAACTCTTCAATTCACTGAAAAGTGGACACCTATTAAATGATGTAAAAAAGAAAGGTTTTCATGATTATTCCTATAATAATGACAAAGAAATCTTTAATTTTCAGTCTATTTTTTAAAGGTTTTTATTTGATTTTACTCAACTGAAGTAGCATCATATGTGCATTTTTTCACATCTACTGCTTAAAAGTCCAAGACACTACTGAATATTTTCACAAATGACCTGAGTGACAACAGAAAGTCTAATCACCAAACCTGCCAATGCCAACTCTAACAGAGGGATTCTCAGGAGAGCTCATGTGGAACTCAAAAGGACTGTGACAAGTTAGTAGATGTGATTATGATTAAACCACAAAAAAACCTAGGTAACTCTGGAGGATACTGAGAACAATCACTGCAATATGCTCCATGATATACACTCCTATGAAATAACTCTCAAAAAACCTCTCAGTGCTCAAATAAGTTTAGAAAACTGAATACAATACCTGTACCCAGGGGATCCACATATATGCTGACATATAAAAACTCTGAAAGGTCCTAAAGAAACCTGGTTAGGTTTGTTGCCCAAGCTTAGGTGGCCACAGAATCCTTTCCTTAAAAAATATCTGTGAACACTGAACACACAGTAAGAAACAATGCTCTACAAAAATTCAGTAAATTTCCTTACAGTGCAAAATGGTTCTTTAGTTTCATAGTACTTTTTCACACGTTAACAAATGGTTCTTACTCTAGCTGCACATCAGATTGACCTCTGTGAACTTAAAAAATGTAAATGGCTTAACCAATAGAAAAACTAAGCTTTAATCCTCCAATTTCTAACTTAGAGCTTTTCCCACTGAAGGTCATCAACACCACCAACTGAATCTGTAATTAACAATAAAAAATTATTGGGCCGGCCGAGTGGCTCAGTTGGTTAAGAGCATGAGCTCTGAGCAACAGGGTCGCCAGTTCGATTCCCACATGGGCCAGTGAGCTGCGCCAGAGCTGAGCTGTTGCTGAACTGCCAACAGGTGGCAGGATGGCTCAGTGCTTAGAGTACATGCTCTTAACAACAAGGTTGCCAGTTCGACTCTGAGCATGGGATGGTGGGCTGTGCCCACCTGCAACTAAGATTGAACACAGCACCTTTAGCTGACAGGCCACGGGCTGCCAACAGGCAGCCAGGTGGTGACTAGACTTGGAGCTGAGCTAGATGTGCCCTCCACAACTAAGATTAAAGGACAACAACTTGGCTGTTCCCCTTCCCCAATTTCCCAATAAAAAAACCCAAACCAAAAAAACAATAAAAAATTATCTTAGGGCCGGCCGAGTGGCGCGATGGTTAAGAACTGGCTTGGGACGCCAGAGGGCCCCGGTTCAGACCCCACATATGAGGGCCAGTGACACTGCCCT